AGTTAAATTTCTATGTACATTTTGTTTCAATTAATTAAACTTTAGCTTAAGTTCCATTTCGCACATTACTAATTGAATTTGCTGATTGAAACTCCCTAAACATCTCTCTAATTCACCTCAAACATAGCTCTACAGTTCAAGAGATCTCTTCTAATTGCTTTAGCTATGGCACGTACCACGCTGCGTATGTGTAATGTAGAAATGATATAAATATAGGAAATATCCCAAAGGGCTCCTAAACAGAACCTAGTCCATGCTGACCACTTAAACTACAGGGTATATAAGCACAGAGTACAACGCCTCAAGCTTATCATATTTAGGTAATTTTAGAGCGCCTACAGAACCAAAACCGAAAAAAAAAGAAAAAAGTGAAAGCTATAAAAGTTCGAGCGCAAAACTTTTTACTTTGGCGTTGTGAATGCGAATGTGGTTGCGAAAAAGTCAATGTTGTTGTTGTTGCCGTAGCTGAGGCATGCGTTGCAGCTTCTCAGTATTGCCATTCGATGTCAATTTAAAGTTTTTTATTTTTATTTAGTTTTTTCCACATCTACTTTTTTTTTTTTTGCTTTACGTTCGGTCGGATAAAGTTTCAGCAGCAAAGTTTTTCGCATTGTTAGCAGCGGCTGCCGGGTAATCGGACCTAGCCAAAGGCACCAGCCACAGCAGCAAAGGCAAGGCAAAGGCAATGGCAAAGGCTAAGGCTAAGCTTGGCATAATCGATTTGCTTTTGCCTTTTCATTTTAATAAGTGTTTTCTTTTTCTTTTTTGTTTTGGCGCAACAAAAAACCCTGGGCTGCAACAAAGTGCGGCAACAATTACGTGCGGCAAACAACCAAACTGCAATCGCCAATGCCAACAATGGTTGAAAGGTGCACTGAATAGAGCAGCGCAGAGGCGGAAGCGGAAGAACCAAAAGAAGAAGAAGTAGAAGAAAAGGGATAGCAAGTCGCAGCCAGAAGTTGCACAAATTGCCAATGCCAAACTGGGTTAAAGACTTCGTCTTCGTTTGTGCCACTTCCCTTGACATTTGGCAGCAGCAGCAGGTGCAGGTGCAGGTGCGGATGCATTCAACTGCAAGCTTCGCCATAATTGAGGCACGCGCAAAACAAATGCTGAGAGCAGCAACAGCAGGAGCAGCAGCAGGAGTCAGAGCAGCAGCACAAACAATTTCGGAACTGCTCTTATTTTTTGGGGCCACGCAGTTTGCCAACGTGCAGCATGCAACGTGCCACACACGAAAATCATTATTTATAATTTAAAATACGCATTTACCAGCTAAAATTGCATGTAACTAATTTATTTATGCATACTGCAACTAAACCGCAAAACTGGCTTAAAATAACAACAACAACAAAGAGATATATACATGATATTGCCTTTTATAATATATACATATAGATAAATGTATATATGCATATACATATACATATATATATCGCCCACTCTTTGTAGTTTAATTCAATTGAAGTTGATTAAAAATTAATTTCAAATTAAATGTGCGCTCAATGATTTTGCTCTTTCAATTGCCATGTATGAGGGAAGGAGAGATAGATAGAGACAGAGAGAGAGAGTGAGAGACAATGCGAGTGGCATCATTTGGCCGTGTGTAAATGTCAGGGCTTAGCGGGGTAGTTAAAGGCTGTCAGCAAAAGTAAAAATTCGACACGTTTTTTCCCCCAAACACACACATGACTCAAATGGCAAAAGTTGCCACACACTCACACACACACATACACACAACTTATACAATGCTGACTAATAAGTACACGAGCAGCTCAAGCGGAAACGGAAGTTGTTGCAAAGTCCGTTGAAATCAATTTTAAAGGTAAACTTGTTACAAGTTACTGAAATACAGAAACAACTACAACAGCAACAACAGCAACATTTTAGCAAACGCAAAACTAATTGCAATGCTCATTATACCCAATATACCGCGTAAAACATATGCATGCCCTTTGAGGTATATCAGGCGTCGAGTGAAAAGCTCTTAAGACTGAACAACGTCTGTGGCAGGAATTTACTAATAAGGTACATTGCTGTAAAGTGCTAGGAAAGTAAAGAAAAATCTACTTTAAATTGAGAAAAGAATTTGAATACTTGGTGAGAAAAGGAAACATGTTATATATAGATTAAATTGCCTAAAAATATTTATAAAAGGATAAAGTATAACTCGCAAATAACTGCTGATGTCTTTCTTTCACTCACACTTTGAGAAAAAACTCGGAGAGCAACAGATTGCTTCGGTTCCTCTATGAGTTCATTCGCTATCGGAGAGATTACCGACCGACTGAGTTTCATGAAGCCAACGGTCTCTTGTGTATGTATTGGTATGTGCTGCATGTCTTCTATCTGTCTGTGAGCATGAAGACTATTTGCTCACTCACTACTGAGTTACATTGAGCGAGCGACAAATGGATCGTTCCTTAAACGATGTTCTGAAAAGAGCGTCATACGAATAATTCAACTGAAGCAGTTCCAGCGAATAAGTTCATAAAGGAACCCCTCAAATACCTATACATGCCAAATGGATATGTCTAGCAAACAGATGTCTCTCTATATATGCAAATATATAATCCTATTATACATACATATTTATGTATATAGACCTACCTCATATTTAGTATCATAGACATTTACAGAGCATCTACCAGTCGTACACTTATCACCTAAGCCCAGTTGTTGTTGTTGTTAATGGGCCTGCTAGGCAAATCGTTGTTGTTGTTGTTGTTTTGTGCAATTGAAGTTGCAGTTGCAGTTGAAGTTGAAGTTACAGTTGCTCTGGCTGTTATCGATTGTTACACACACACACATACATGCACACACATGTAGCACTCATATATGGCATATGCAGTACGTGCTCCAGATGCGCCCCATTAGCGTTTCGCATGCCCCGGCAAAAGTTTCCAAATTTATTTGCCTCATTTTGTGCACATTGTTTGGCTGGCTGCTTGGCTGTTGGAATCTGCGTGTTGTGGCACGCTAAAGTTGCAACGCCTGCAGCCTGCAATTAAAAGTGAGGTAATGCCCAGCACTACCCGCCTCTACCGACCTCTATCCACCTCCTCATGCCCTACATCGCCCTGCTACTCTAATGTACAGCACTTTAATTAACTTCCCCAGCCCGCAACTAATGCCAATTTATGTGCGTTAATAAACGCTCAATGGAAAAAGGCAGAACAAAAAGAAGACGGGGGAGGGGTGGCAGTGGAGGAGAAAAGAGTTTAAGGATTTTGCATTACCCTCAATTTCCAGTCAACGTCTGCAATCAGCGTTATCAAAGCCATTTAATTCTTCGAAATCTGGCCAAAGTTGTTAAAAACCCATTTAAAACTGTCACCATAATGAACGTTCAGTAGTTACCATCTTCCGTGCACTTGAATTCCATCTTTCCGTTCCATTCCGTTGCGTTCCGCCTTGCGATTCGCCCGACTGTTGCTGCAACTGCAAAATGGCAGCTGCACACGCCCACCCAGCCCTGCACTGGGGATGTTAATTAGAAAACTCTTGAAAATGATTAAAAACTTTCGTGGCTGTCAGGCGGCCAAAAAGAGTTGCCAACTTTTGCTTCCTGCTGTAAAAATGAGACGACGCTGTACAGGAGATGATGAAGACAGACAGAGAGGGAGGGAGAGAGAGAGAGGTGGGCGGGAGACTGAAACAGAGAGCGATAGCGAGACAGAAAAATGAGCTCTGTATTACGTCTGTGCTGCCATATACTTAAAAACTTTGCTCAGGCTCTAAGCTGCACTTGGAGAATCGGCGGCATATATATATGCAGGTATATAAAGATAGCACTTAGGGGGTAGCATCAAATCCCTGCTGTAATATACTCGTATTTTTAAGGCATTATTTATGCTAGTGCTGACAGCGAACACTCTAGATAATTTGGAAATGCAACATCACGCTATACAGCACGAGAAGTTGTATGCTTTCTTTCCTATAGCAGTTGAGTATACCTCTAGATCTAGACGCACTTGTGAAACGTTTGCAATCGAAACACAAGTATTTTAAGCCTCTGCCATCAGAACTATTGGAATTGAAAGATTTCACTATAGCGATAACTGGAACATTTAGAATCGCAACAGTATGATATATTTAAAAGCTTGCCACAGTAGCACACAGATGAGTTATACTAGAACATTCGGACCCGAAATTATAAAACTTTTGACGTTTCTCATACTTTTTCAAAATTGTAGTAAATATCATAAAAATAATCTCATGATATATGATAGTAGAATAGACAATAAAGTCAAGTCTTCAATTATAAAAAAAAAAAAAAAAATTAAGACGAATATACACATTTATATACATACATATATATGGATATAAATACAGTAGAGTCTCAATATTATTTACAAAGAAATTCAAATTATCGAGAATTATTGAGAACGAATTTCTTTCAAGATGATAGCATTTTTTCTCAAATTATCGGGGTACGAACTATCGAGACTCGCCTGTACTTATAAAAATTTTAATTTAATTTAATGTGAGACCAAAATAAACAAATAACTTAAGTTTTTAGCTTCATATATGAGACTTGCTTGAAGACATTTAGCTAAAATTTCACACATTTATATTTTTTTCTAACATTTATATAACAATCAGTGCATTTGATTATTATTACTCTAATTGAATAAGTCGTGTGTCAATTCACAAAAATGGCATAAGACACATCTAATGCGCCGCAATAATAGGCTTACAAGTGTAATACAGCTCGGCGTTGTCTCGAATTTTCAAGAGTTTCAACTGGCAATAAACATATGCACTCTAATCAACGGTTCGCACGTCTGTGATGCTGCGACACCTGCCTCAACTGCCCCACCTGCCTCAGTTGGCGCTACCCGCATGGCATCTTTTATTAGAGCCAATTAAGTGAAATACTGCAAATAGACATTGAGATAAAGATAAACACGAGATACTGGCAGAAACCAGATAAACATGAATACACAAATCTCACAATGCCAATTGTAACTGAAATCAGCTAGAGCTATCTCAGCGGTTGCGGTTCACTTGAGCTAAATTGCTTCGATGTGTGGAATCAGTTGACAACGCGACCTCAAAGTGTGCGCAGTGCAGTGAAAAGATCAAATTATCGTCGACAATGTCCCCGAAGCAGACAGAGCTTAAGTCGGACGAGAAGCAGAAGTCGAAGGAGGAGTGGGGCAACGGCTTGGAATTTCTCTTCTCCTGCATCTCATTGTCTGTGGGCCTGGGCAACATTTGGCGCTTTCCCTACATTGCCTTTCAGAATGGCGGCGGCACCTTCGTAATACCCTATTTGATAGCACTCTTGGTCATCGGACGACCCGTTTACTACTTGGAGATCTTGCTGGGCCAGTTTCGTGGCGGCGGCGCACTGCGCGCCTTCGATCTGGCACCGCTGCTCAAGGGCGTGGCTGCCGGCCAGGTGCTGGCCACAGGCGCCTCCATCACCTACTATTCGAGCATCATGGCCCTAACGTTGCGTTTCCTGCTGGCCTCGTTCAGCGCCGAGCTGCCCTGGAGCAGCTGCCGGCCGAGCTGGGGCAGCGACTGCCACGATGTGAGCGCGGCGAACGCCAGTGGCAAAATGTCACCAGCTCAGCTGTATTTTGAGTGAGTGAAAAGTGTGAACTGAGAGGGAAAGAGACAGAGAGCTGCGCTTGCAGTAAATTCCCTCGAGCGATTTATGATGCGTTCATATAGTGTATGTGTATGGTGTATTATAGATCTGTTCTTGAACCAACTGTACTGAAATGTTTTAAGGTCGCCAGGATTAGTATTTATATGCATATATCTATATATGAACATATTCAAATATTCAAGTAATAATCGTATATATGCATGTAGACCATATGCATCAGACCATAATCAATGCCATATCGAACCAATCGAATTATTTATGAATTTTTGCATATTTTCATGAGAGTTATGTGAAATATTTTTTAAATGAAATTTGAAGCTAAAAAAAAATCATAAAATTTGTGTAGTAATATATAATTTACATTATAATATTCTCGTACGTGTTCCTGTCACGTATATAATATATAACTTATGACATTTATGAACATTTTCCCACACAAAACCACATAGCAATATCTTTTGCATCTAGTGGGTATGTATATTAATGTTAATAAGCTTAGGCAAATCAATAATAAAATTATATGTATGATGATAAAGTATATATATTTATATTTTATAAAGCATTAGAAAGCTAAATTCTATTATCCTTTAACCCTCAAAATTAGGCTACCTTGGCTCTCTTGGGATTATATATTTATATATAATGAATATAATT